ATCCTTTTAAACATTTATAAAATGAAATGAACAGTTAATTTTCGGGTTTTTTCAAAGTTTTTTTTTGTTTTATTTGTTTTTTTTTATAAGGTGAAATATAACATGATCGAAGAAATTTATATTAAAAATACAATAATGTTAGTAGTACAATCATCATAATCTATTTAATTAATAATTATGAAAATAAAAATTATGTATAAATTTAAATACAATACATACATAAACATACATATGTAAATTTTCAATTAATTTAATTAATAATATTCCTACAACAGTGTTTTTTTGTTTGTATATTTGTTTTCTTTTTATATATAGATAATAATAATGACGACAATTAACGATTTAATTAAAAAAGAGTTAATATTTTCTTTTAGTATATAATACTTTAATGCAATTAAATAATAATAATAACTAAACACTGTTTTCTCATTTTATAAAAAAATACAATAAATTTGAGTTTAGAATTTAAACATCAATTGTACCACTAAAAATTACAATTAATATCTTATAATTAAAAAAAAAGAATTATTTAATATTTTTGTTTGTTCTGCTGGGATTTTTATAATGTACGCTTTTTTTATTAAGTTGAAATTTAAAAAATAATTTGAAATAAATAATTAAAAACATCACAATGGATCGTTTTTTGTTTGTTTTTTATTTGTTTGCAAATAACAAGTCATTTATATGATGATTATTATTTATTTTTCTATTTAATATTTACATAAAATATTTTACTTCTTTTTTAATTTACTTTTGCTCTGTATATTATTAATTTTAAATAGTTATAATGCTAATTGAATTTTAAATATTTGAGATTTTCACAATTTGTTTTAATGACATTTACGTGTGATCGAACAAATGTTAGTTGTAATTATTAATTATGTATGTAATACATACATTTGTAAGTATATCCAAAATATTTGGCATATTTTTAGGGGTTTTGAGAGTTTTTTTTTTTAAAGTATGTTAAATATTTTCGATTGATAATAAGTTCATTAGTGAATCTGTTTTGTTATTATTTCAAATTGTATATTTTTTCTGTTTATTTTGTGTTTTTTAACTTGCTTTGTTTATAAAGAAATAGAGAAGAAAGATGATAAAAATTTACGACGACATTTTATAATAAATACATACATACTGTTTTTATAGTACACATAGTAAATATCGTTTTGTTGTTTTATTATTTTGTTGTTTTCTATGTTAATAAAATATTTAAAATTTGAAGTCAGTACATTTATAGTGGAAAAGATTTATAAACAGCTCCTGGGGGGTAAAATTGTTTGTAAAATTCTATATCTAAACATGCACGGGATTGTTTTAAATTAAACAAAGTTTTTGAGAAAAAAATATCTAATCAAAATAACAAGCACACTTTTAGGCATTGAACAAATTATAAACTTATATGACTACAAATGTCTAAAGGACTTTAATATGTTGTTAAATTTGTTAATTTAAAATTAAATTTAATATTATGTTAATCCTTTTTGTTGTTTTTTGAGATCAAGTTTGTTATTATTACAAAAACAAAAGCAAGATTCGAAAATTATTTGGAATTTAATAGTTTTTTAAAGATTATTTATTCGCAGAGATGGGAAATAACCAATCGGTACATACCTCATAAAATGGGAAATTTTGGGAAAAATGGATAATTACATGCTTGTTTTTGTAACCACAATTCTACATTACGATTACTTTCAACCAAAAAAACGGAATCGTAAGAAAATGCTTTACGATCCATATACATAATTTTATAATGGGTCTGATCAGATGCAGTGATGTATTTCAAAACATGCTTAACATCTACTTAAGTATCTTTCGATAATCGTTAAACCAATTAAATGACTTTGCTATTCGCCTTGGTAAAATATTTGTTAAGCACCGCTTGCTAGTAATATTTTCGTTACGTGAATATTAACCGAAGTTCCCGAATCATGATCAAAGATTTTTATAACAGCTTCAAAACTAACACAGGCTAAAAAATTTTTAACACAGACACCAAAGTATCCGTTTCTAAAGGATGTTAAGTCCGAATTTGGTCTCGAGGTTTTTGAGATATTGTGTCCTAAATATAAGAAAAAAATCCTCATTTTTGAAATATTATAAAATTGTTTTTTTAGTAGTTCGTTTGAAAGTAGGATGTAGGATATGTTGCATCAAATCCGAAGAAATTCATCTAGATCTCCATCGAATCTGTGGTGCGCTTCTTTACCAATACGACTGGCAGAAATCGAACCACGACCTTTGGTCGAAGAAGGAAGAAACTACAAAGATAAACTTTATAAATAAAAGTGTCCTCGCGCTCTTATAACGGTTTCAAACATGGCCAAAAACGTGATAGGATGGCAAAATTCTAAAAGTCCATATTCTTCAGATCACGAGTATTTTAAAAAATTTGCTATTTACCTTATCTTTGTTTATATCTGCAAAATGTGCGTTATCACTAAAATATTTGGTGATTTATGACACTAGATTGTATAAATCAAACCAGCTTCGATTTTCTCTTAAATTCTTTAAACGGATCATCAATATGAATGTGTATCGACTAAGATCCTGATCTTATTATTTCAAATAAGAATTTTTACTTAAAATTCGAAAAACCAAACTGGGGTAATGATGATTGTAATTAGTTTTATTAATTATGTTCAGTTAACGATCATACAAAGTCAACATGTTGCAAAATGTTTAATTTGATGGCATCAGAATCCCACAGTATTCCAAAATCGTGTCTTACTACTCTAAGTGGCTGCTAACAAATATTCCACTTGTTCATTATCTTCATAAAATACCTGTCAGGCAGTACAAGCTGTAAATTATCCACCAAGTCCTCATGATGATCGTTAGGGAAACATTCTGATATTTTTAAAAACGCCATATATACACTTATAATATATATCTAACAACATGGCGGCTGTAGATCACTGCAAAAGTAGAAAAAGGCGCCAAGTACCCAATGTTTAAAAAACTTTTGATCTATTGATCACTTTTATAGATTTTATCGTCTTCGACAACTGCTCAGTAAATGTTACACCACACTAAAGGTATGATCCTTTTTTTTACAATCTAACTTTTTCCGACATTTGAGAGTTAAATTCTTCTTCTCGAAATTCCAATTAAGTTATTCGCATGTACAAAAACGTCATATATGAAATTATATGAATATCGCTCACAACATGGCGGCTGTAGATCACTGCAAAAGTCCTAGGAAAAAGCGCCACGTACACTATGGTTAAAACTTACTTGCTTTTATAGATCTTATCGTTTTCAGCAATTGTTTAGTAATCTTCATTTTACACCATACTAAAGGTACGATCACACCTATCAAATATTTGACGAAATACGGGACTTCTAAAAAATCCTTAAATTACAGATTTATCTACAAAAACATTATATATCAGTCGAGTTATTACTTAAGAACGTCTCTATTCATCCCTATTCCGCATTTCGAATACGTTTCCGGATTCAGTTATGCTACGACGGAATCGTGAAAAAAAGAAGAATGCTTTTTTGTAAGTTGTTTTTTAGTGAGGGACCTTCGAAGTGAAATGCAGAATACCAAAGTTACAAAACTGCAGAGTAGGGGTGATTTATTTGTTGCGACATCATTTGTAATTACAAAAATCATGTGAGGTTGAAAAAACATTTACAAAAAGTTGTGATTACGTCTTATTCAAATATTTGATGCATTACCTAAGGTTTGCAAGAAAGACTTTTTTATTTCAGAATTTGATTGCAAATTGTTTTTAATTTAGCAAATAAAACTTGCTGGATTATTGTTAGACTTACAATTATTGCTATAGTCTTCCTTCTTTAGGATTGTTTGCTATGGGTGTTAATCTTGTGTGGGATTTTTCTGAGGCTTATTATGTTTGCAAGTTTTACTAAAACAATTTGATATAAAAAAATACCGATAATTGTCATATTGAAAAGAATTGCGTGAGAAAGACACAACCGCAATATACGTGAACTATTTTAAGTACGTAATGCGTTCCAATAGTCTGACAATTCAGCAATTCTGAGTATTTTCTTGTTATAAAGAGCAATGGTTTGCAAGGCTTTGCAAGAGTTATACTATTGAAATATGATTTTTATTACTTTGCAGCAGTAGTTTACTATGAAAAATTGATGAAGTAATAAATCCTCATTAATATTTTTCAAGTTTTTTTTTAAAAAATTTTGGTTTTATATAAAAATGAAAATCTACAATCGAAAACCCAAAAACATTTATATCCTTATGCAATGTTTCTTTATAGTAAAATGTACTTTCAATTAATTATATTTTGTTTTCATTTAAACGATCTAAGTGTGTGTGTGTGTAGAGTGAACGAGTAGAAAAAGTGTAAAGATAGCTGGACAAGAGAGTTAAGACAAAAACAAAATAATAATAAAATGTTTATAAAAGTGTGTTTGTTTGTTTTGTTTAATATTTGAAATGTATATTAATATAGTAAATTGTATAATATTTATGTTTTTTTGTTTTGTTTTCAATTCATTAAAAACTTTTCTTTTTTGCTTTTTTGTTTTTATGCCATATTTTAATATTATATTATATATATTTTTGTTTTTTTTATGATTTAAAATTCTAAAAATACAAATAAATCGCGTGCACTTTTCATCTTTGTAATTAATAGGTTTTTTCTTTCGATTTTTTGTTTTTTTTTTTCATGTTAAATATGAAGACAATAATTACAATTATAATAATAATTAGAATAATAATTTGCTTGTTTTCTTCTTTTTGATTTAACTACACTCACAAAATGTTTAAACATTAACCCAAAATAAAATTAAAAAAAAAGAAAGAAATACTTTTTATAACTTATGGTTAGTTAAAAATAAACATAATATAATAATAATAATAATAAAATAAAAATAATAATATAAAAAAGATACCGAAAATAATTATGTTTTGTGTGTTTTTTGTTTTAAGAAGTAAGAAAATACGAACATTTGAATACAATGGAAAGGAAGAGAAAGTAAAATTAAATATATTTATTATTTATGTATGTTTTTTTGTTTGTTTGTTTTGTTTTTGTATATGTTTAAGATCACAATGATGGTGAAGCACTAAATTTTTAAAACATTTTCAGTAGCAGCAGCATCAACAGCAATTGGAGCACTCACGCAGTGACTGACAACAATTCTCATCATCTACAACGTTTTTTCCCTCACTTCTCATCATCAACGTGTTTATCATTCATTATTAGCACAGTAACAATAATATTTATTTTTTGTTTGATTTTAATTTTTCAAAAATATGGAACGCGTATGATAGAAGTGATTGCAATGATGGTGATTGATAAAACACCATGTAGTAAAACGAATAGAGTGTGTAATGTTTGTTTGTTGTATGTATAAATTAAAAATGCAGGTTACGTTGTTTTTTTTTTTTTGTTTTGTGTTGTTGTTGCTTTTGTAATATTTGTTTTTTTCTCTGGGCTCCTGATAAAAGTCTTACGTGTGAGAACTTTATACGGCTTGTTGATCTGGTTGTCGTTCTTTGAACTTGAGAGTTTCTTCGAAAATTAATGTTTTTAATGTTTCTCTTGGAAGATCGTCGAGTTCCATGCCAATTCGGAAGGGTACTTCAGCAACAGGCTATTTGGAAGAAATAAGTATATATATTATTTGAAAATGCTATAATGTTGAACTGGCTTTGTTTAGATAACTTATCGTATTTTACTTAAACTTACCTCATCTCCGGGATCGTAATACTGTTCCAAATAAGGATGCGCTAATGCTTCTTCAACGGGTATTCTATTGTGGGGATTGAATGTCAACATTTTGCCCAGTAAATCTAAAGCCAATGGATCAGCATTGGGGAATAGCCTTGACCATGGCACTTTTGGTTTAAATGGTAATGACTCCAAATAATTGCGGGCCTAAAAGATATAAAACCAACAAGAGAAATTTAGTTGCAATAATCACATGAAATCACCCTTAAACATTATTACCTTTTCATTTATAATACACTCTAGATCCTCTTTAGAGGGAGATCCTAATACACCTAATATGTGATTTAATTGATCTAAATAATGTTTGCCTGGGAAAATAGGTCTATTGCTAAGCATTTCTGCTAAAATGCAGCCTACTGACCAAATATCTATCGATTTGGTATAGCCCTTTGAGTTGAGCATAATTTCTGGTGCACGATACCAACGTGTGGCCACATATTCGGTAAGAAAACCAGTGTGATCGTGTTCGGGATCAGCAACACGTGCCAAACCAAAATCGCATATCTAAAATGAAATTAATGTTTAATACAAAACAATTGAAAGACAAAAATAAAAAAACTTACTTTCAAATCGCACGTTGTATTTAATAATAAATTGCTTGGTTTCAAATCTCTATGCAATACATTGGCCGAGTGTATGTATTTTAAACCGCGCAATATTTGATATAGAAAATAGCAGATGTGATCATTGCTTAGCCTCTGAAAAATGCAAACAAAAAACAAATCAGTAAAAATTGTCAATATCAATTTAAATATTTAAAATATTTACCTGAGTTTTAAGTAATTTATATAGATCAGTCTCCATTAAACACTGTACAATATATACATCACGCATTTGTTCTATACTGTCCACACGCAGAATATCACGTATATCAATGATCTGGAATGAAATTTAAAAATCATATTATGTTTTCTTTATATTATCAAGTTTATTGCAAATTTTCTACTTACATTTTCATGTTTAAAACGAGTTAGAATTTTGATTTCACGCAACGTACGCTGACAATAAGTTTGATGTTCAAAAGGTGATATTTTTTTAATCGCCACCTTTGTATTTGTTAGTGTATCACAGGCAGATCTGAAAAAAGTGAAAGAATTTGTTAGTTTATTGCAATCATATTAATAATTTTAAATATATAAATAGAAATAAAAAGTAGTTTGCGTATATTCTTTCCAAACTTAAAACCTAATAAAACAATTCCGTTTAAATGTGATTTACTATAGTTTTCTATTGGAATTTAAAACTTTAAAATGTTCTATTGAAAAATGCAAAACAAACTACATTTTGTTGAATTAGTTGCAAAACAACAACAGCACCTGACTTTGAACAATGATATATTAACAACAGCAAGGAGGTTGCCCTGAGCTATTATATTCTCGTAGTTTAAATTATTGAGAACTTTGTTAATAAAACCTTTACAGAAGTAAAAAAGAGAGCCAATTTTTTAAGTGCAGTATAAATTGATCTATATCTTTCGCAAAATAACACATAATCCAAAATAAAGTAATAAAAGATAGACCTTTCGACTTTCTCCTCAAACTCTAAGAAAAGTAGTAGAATAGTATAGTATTCAAATAACTTCTGCGGAAGTAATTCTGATGCATTAAATAGGAAACATAGAAGAGTTTTTCTGGCTATTTATAAGAAAATGATTTAATTTTATTGCAGTTTTTATAACGAAAAAATATACATATACAAATTATTATGATGAATTAAGGGAATTTACACATACAAATATCATAGCGGTTTACAGATAAAAAATTTTATTTTTTATTGGAGTTTGAGTCACTATCATTAAATATCTTTATAATTTCTTCGTGTACTTTTCAATTATAGAACATGAGCAATGTTTGTAAATTATAAATTAATATTTTTTTTGGCAAAAAATGCAATCTGATATAAAAAATTAGGTATGTATGTATGACAGGTATTAACAAAAATCTTGTCGCAATGCACCCCTTACATAAGTAAACTTTGCGGTTCTGTAAGATCACATGGTGTAATGGACAATACCTCAATTGTCAGTTCGACGTTGTAGAAATGCTAGTGGTATCATTGCAAGACATTGGTAATATCAGCCGAACGAAGGATGAACGTTTGTGGTATATCTTTCATCGTTCAATTCCGTTTAAAAGCTATCAAACTACATTGTTCAGTATAAAACGTTTTTAAATCCGATATGGGCATACCGAAACAAAGAATTCTTCGGACCATGGAGAAAAGAAACACAAGACGTTTGTGATCAATATATACTTTCTTCTTATAATTTATGATCAGAATCCTTACTTAATATTTCGATCGATTTTGGATTAAATTTGTCGAATTTCTGTTAATTGAATATTGTTAATTGGTTATTGAATATTGTTAAATAAAATAAATAAATAATTGTTTTAATTAGTGAGGCATAAATAATACCCTTTTTAATTCTAACCTCCTTATTCACAAACAACATTTTTATTTTATAAAAGGTTTATAAAATAAATTTCCATACAAAATCTAATTTATAAACTGTTTATAAAATAGAAATTTTGTTTGTGAATAAGGGGGTAAAATTATAACGTTTTGCTTATTAAAACCAAATTCAAAAGATTTTGGAACTCAGTGACAAGGAAGATAATATTTTTGGCTCTTCAATTATACCGCTTAGTGTTTTAATTAGCTTAGAACTTTAGATTCAATTTGTTTTCTTTAACAGAATGAACAATTCTCGTTAAGACACTGTCGTAAAATAAACACACAGAAAAGGTAGGGACAAAACTATATCGTCTTAAAATATTAGAATACGGATTATAAATACATTCTTGATTGGTTTACGTCCAATAATTTAATGTACTCAAAGAAAAGTAAATTTTATTGTTAATAGGTTTTACTTTAAGAAAAGTCATTGTCCAAATTTATTATCCAATAATGTCCATATGCCAACAAAATATGCGTGGTATATAGCAATATTGCAATGCCTGATATATAGCACAATTCAAAGTTCTGCGTTGGTGGAAAAAACATCCTTGCATCTAAATGTTTTTTTGATGGAGACACAATCCTACAATCTGTCGATTCATAATGAAGAAATGCAACAATTTCAATTTCAGGCAAACTTATTTTCTTTTGTTATATAAGTTATTTCCTAATTTTTGTTAGCATTACATAGTAAAACATGGTAAAATAAAAGTTTACACACTCTCTAAATGAAAATGGAAAATATTAAAATTTAATACTTACACCACCATACCATAGGCACCTTCACCAATATAGGCCAAATGACGATAGCGTGGACCAACTTCGAAAATCTGACCACGAATTACTTCGGCATTTGGATTATCCGAATGCACTATGGGTGCAGTAGCACCATTATTATTGGGTTGTTGTTGCTGTGGCTGACTGGAACCACCTGCTGCAGTTGGTGCACTAGCTGCTGCCTCGGCCATAGCTGAACTCACTACCACAGATTTCTATGCAGACAACACTCAATAAGATAATTTTTATTGAAATTGTTTGACAGCAATGTGTTGACGAACTGATTGACTATTCCTGTAATGTTTCTTTGGAAACAAACAGAAAAAAGAGCAACAACCAGTGACAGCAAATCAATATTAAGATGTTTGATTCTGCCTGTCTGTTTAAAAAGTGATTTTTTCACTTCTTCTGGCAAATTGTTTTTTTTTTACTTTTTTTTGTATGATGAAGAAGCAACGAAGTAGAGAAAATGTGAGAGAGAAAAAAGTCCCAAAAAGGAATATATAGAAACTTATGGGTAACGCCTAGCGTAGTACCAACAACAGGTATCTTTTGACAATTTTTCGCTTCTATTCTTAGGTTACGGTAACGAGATCTACACTACAACAATACAACGACGACGGCAGCAACGGCGACGTTAGCAAAACAGCGCATACAATATACACACGCGTTCAAACGCACGCATACACAATTTGTTGGTTTCCTTTATGGTTTTTAGTGGTGTTGTTGGTAAAAATTTTGTACACGCATACACTCGATTGGAAAATAAAAGTTGTTGGTAGGTGGTTGCCGATTATGGAATTGTTGCAACAAATATTCTAAAACAATATGTGGATTATTCTTTCTGTTTGTTTAGATTCTTTCACCTCGAGTTGCAAACAGATTATAAATGACAAACCAATTAAGTCTATAATACAGGCAACACCCTCAACTTTTTTGAGTGAAGCCTTAAAATGTTGCTGGTTGTTGTTTGCAGTTTCGTTTGTTTGTTGTTGGCTGGTTTGATTCGTTGATTGCTGCTTCTTCCTTATTTGCTTTTGCCTCTGTTATTCCTTTCTTTCTTTTTGTTCTCTTTGCTTTCTATTTTTTCTCGTTATTTTATAACAATACAGCCGTAGTGTTTTTTATTTGCTGTTTTTCTTCTTCTTGCTATTATTGTTGCTGTTGTTATTCGTTTTCTTTTTAGAGTTGTTATTCCTGTTGTTCTTTTTCTTTCTTTCAACTTTCGTTCTCATTAACTTTTTTGTATTAAAATATTCAATGTTTTAACAAATTTTGACTTTTTTGTTTAAATATGTATGTTCGCACTAAAAAAGAAATGAATTATTAAAATTAACATTCACACACTCCAGCAACGTTATTATTTCTTAAATTTTTACAACTTTTTGTCACTTTTTCGGTGTTTTTTTAACAGACGAACTAGACTAAAATTTGCTTAAAAGCATTTTTTCTATACCAACTGAGGTGACAGCTATTTAAGGCAATTTGTTAAATTTATTTGTTTTAAATTGTTGATTTTATTTATTATTTTTGGCAATTAACACAATTAAAAATTTTGCAAACAATTTATAATTTCTATCTATGTGTGTGCACTTTGGTCGCAAAATTAACACAATTTTTGTCACTAGATACATTCCTGTTCTGCTGCGTCTGCTCGTGAAATTTGACTTTTATTATACGACGAAAATCACGACGATGACAGCGACGTCGAAGTCGATGTCAACAACGACACTTGACAGCAGCGAAAAATAAAATAAACGATAATAAAGGATTCATAAAAATGGCAAAAGATAATGTAGCGAACGCCGAGTTAAAAAACCTGACACCTTTTTTATAATTACTTTCGTCTGTTGCTTTTTACAATTTAATTATTTTGTTAACAATTTTACACTCCTCACTCGCTTCTTCGACAGATATAGGTTAGATAAAAGAAACAAATGTTTTGCTTGTCATTTTTCCCTTTATTATCATTATTTTAGAAAATTGTTAGAAAGTGAGTCACAGTGCAAATATTTTTCAAGTGACAAATAAAAAACCACATCTTTTTTCTTTTAATTCTTTTTTATGATCAGTATTCGGTTGTATGTATTAATAAAATTTACCGCACAACAATAAAAAAACACTTGAAAGATACTTTGTATGTGTACAAAATGAATTGGGAAGGGATAGTCCCTTAAATATCAACTACGTTTGATGTTATATTTTGTGATAAAATTTCTTTAACGAAGTTCGTACAATTGAAATAATTATGCTAACAACTCTCATTAAACTCCACACAATTTAAATTATTTTAATTTTATTTCTTCTAAATTTTCATGTTTCTTGTACTAAGCTTTTGCTGTTCTTCCACTTTTACAAAACTTATTCACCATTAAAATTCATTAATTTTGCACTTTTTATAACAATTTTTATAAATTTTTCAAAAATACCTAGGACAATATGGAATTTTCACACTTTAATAATATTTTCTCTAATAATTATTTTGAAAATAACATAATTATTCACACTTCACTAAAAATTTCTGCTGAAAACCAGAGACTTATGCCGACAAACATTAATGGAAACGGCGGTTAACACAATAAATTTAAGCGGCGACAAATCGGCAATAAACCAGCGAAGTTTTCAGTTGTTTGAACATTATTGATTAAATAGATCCGAGAGATTAAAAAAAGAGATTTAAAAAAAATATTAAATCGGGATTTAGTACAATATAAAATAGGCAATATCCTGTTAAATACATATGTATAGCTTTCTTTTTTATTATTTGATGACGGTTTTTTTCGAATTATTTATTTTTTTTATTTTATTTATTTATTAATATCAATACAAAGAAAGCCTTCATGGCCAATAAAATATGTATTGTAAGATTAATAACTATGTAATAGATTAATTAATTTTATATAAATACAAATAAGATACAGTAATCATTAGATATATATATATATAGGTATATATATACTGTCATATTCATAAG